GATTTAAATGTAAAACCCAAAACTATGAAACTACTAGATAAAAACATACGGGAAATGATCCATGACATGGGACTGGGCAAGGATTTTCAAAACAAGACTTCAAAAGCACAAGCAATAAAAGAAGAAATAGACAAGGGGGATTACATCAACCTAAAAACCTTTTGCACATCAAAGAAACTGTTAACAGAGTGAAGAGACAACCTACAGAATGGGAAAAAATATTTGAAAACTCTCCATCAGACAAGGCGTTAATATGAAGAATATATAAGAAACTTAAACAGCTCAACATAAAAAACCAAATAACCAAATTGAGAAGTGGGCACAGGATCTTAACAGACATTTCTCAAAAGAAGACATACAAAACAAGCACATGAAAAATGCTCCACATCACTAATCATCAGGGAAATGCAAATCAAAACAACAGCGAGATACCACCTCACTCCAGCTAGAATGGCTGTTACCAAAAAGACAGAAGAAAACAAGTGTTGGCGAGGATATGAAGAAAAGGGAACACGTGCACACTGTTGGTGGGAGCGTAAACTAGTAGAGACATTAAGGAAAACACTATGGAGGTTCCTCAAAAATTAAAAATAGAACTGCCATATAATCCAGCAATCCCATCACTGGGTGTATACCCAAAGGAAATGAAGTCAGTATGTTGAAGAGACATCTGCACTCCCACGTTTATTGTAGCACAATTTATAGTAGCCAAGACAGGGAATCAACCTAAGTGTCCAACAATGAATGAATGGATATTTTTAAAAAATGGTGTGTGTGTGTGTGTGTGTGTGTGTGTGTGTGTGTGTGTGTACAGACACAGTGGAATACTATTCAGCCATAAAAAGAGAATGAAATCCTGTCATGTGCAGCGACATGCATGGACTTCGAGTACATTATGTTAAATGAAATAAGCCAGGCACAGAAAGACAAATACCGCATGATCTCATTCATATGAGGAATCAAAAAAAAAAATTATTTTTTAAGTTGATAATATAGAGGCAGAGAGTAGGAGGTGAGGGGGCGGAAACAGGGAGAGGTTGGCCAGGTGGCACGAAATTCAGTTAGATGTGAGGAACAAATTCTGGTGTTCTGTCGCACAGTAGGGTGACTGCAGTAAATGGTTAAGGTTTGTATATTACGTAACAGCTAAAGGAGAGGCTTTTGAATGTTTTTACCACAAAGAAATGACAACTGCGTGAGGTGATGGCTTCACTAACTAGCCTGGCTTGATCATTATGCAACTTGTATATGTGAAAACATTAGATAGCACCCCATAAGCATGTACAGTTACAATATGTCAGTTAAAACTTTTAAAAAGAGTTGAGAAAAAAGCAAGAAACGTTTACAAATGCAGCCACAAAAGCATTCTTTATCATTTCTTTTTCACTCAGCAACAGATGGTTGACTCTGCATGGTATTCTAGGGATCGGATGTTCTGTTGGATATTTTCTTGGCATTTTGTTTGGTGCAATGATAAGCGAGCATAATATCTTAAGGTCCTGCCTGGATTTTATCCGATCTCTCCTACAGGAGTGTGGCACCTGCTGTTCCATATCGGGAGGCAGGAGGACAGGCATCTGCCCAGGGGCACTCTGGAAGGTACATGGACACTGTTGCCTCTGCCGGCTTCTCCGTACATATTTATGCATTGGGTGCTTCTCTTAAATGTGTTCTCTCTCCAGAAATCTCACAGAGCAAGGCCTTAAATCCTGAGGGATTTAGAAAAGAAGATTAGGGCTGGCCGATTGGCTCAGTTGATTAGAGAATGGTGCTGATAACACCAAGGTCCAGGGTTTGATCCCTGTACCAGCCAGCTGCCAAAAAAAAAAAAAGAGAGAGACAGAGAGAGAGAAAAGAAGATGGTGTCTGCCCACCATTCAAGTGATTTACCTCTCCTCAGCAGCAACTCTGGCCACAACCAAAGGTGAAAGGGCTTGTTGGGAGGTCGTTCCCATGGCTCAGCTTGACTTCTGGTCTAAGTCAGCCATTGATTCTTCAAGGTTCTTCACAACCCAGCCTCTAGGAAACAGCATGATGTTTGGTCACTAATACATCCCCACCGTCAACACAGGACAGCAGTGACTGGGAATGTCACTGGGGAATTCAGGCACTCATATGAGCACATCACCTCTCTTAGTGCAGCTAGGCTAATTAGTACCCAGACTCCCAGATAAAATTGCTTTGAATCATAAACACAGGTCTCCCATTCAGAAAATGAAAAAGTGAAAAATTAACACCTCCTCCTTCAAAGCAGTACATTAATATAGTAGTAGGTGAAAAACATCTGAATGCCTGGGCTGAGGCCATCCTCTGTCCATTGAGTAGCTGTGTGACCTTGGGCAAGCCACTTAACCTCTCTGGACTTCAGTTTTTTCTCAACTGTAAAATTAGGTGATTGGACTTGTACATTCTCAAGCACCCACTTAGATGGATGACCCATTCTTAATGGAGAGAGGGCAGAACCTTCCAGTGGGGCTGGACCAGACTCTGTGTCCTGGCAGTGTCTCCAGGGCTCCCCCTGTGGGATTAGGACCAGTGTGGAGCACCCCATACTTACAGCTCACGCAAGCGCAGCCTTCTTCAAACTCTCTGAGCTGTTAAACACTGGTCACCAGCCCGACTCTTGGTATGCTCCAGTCCTTCCTCTTGGGGGCTGTATCTTGGACATGGCTGTGATGCTGGTAAAGGCCATGGAGTCTGCCTAAGGGGCATGGGGGCAGGCTCAGCTTCAAATCTGCGTTTTGTTAGGGTGGATTCATCCTTCACACTGTTTGCAGGCCAGTACCTTATATCCAGAGGGGTACGATGACGGCAGCTGCACTCGAGGGTGGGGAACCACCGCCGGGGCCCACCCAGCTGGTGTTGACCAAACATGTCTTTCAGGTGAACCCGTGGGAGAGGATGGCCCATGTGGGGGACTTTAAGTGGACGCCCTGGTTCCCTGTCCTGGTGGTAAGTGGCCCAAGAACCTCGCCACACTGTGCCCTCACCCTGGTGAGGTTCAGCAGGAGCTTCTGTCCAGGCCACATCCCTCACCAGCTCCATTGCCTCAGCTTCTTCAGCCTCAGTTTGCACAGCTGTAAAGTGGGAGTGCTGTTAATAGCACCTCCTTCAAAGACGAGGCCATGCCCGCAAAGCGCTGAACACCACCCAGGCCCAAATCAGATGCATGTCGTTGGTAGTTCCCTTGACAGGGTTTCATGGATAGAAACACCCTTTAGTGCTTACTTGTGTTGTGATATATGGCCCAATGCCTGTGTGATGAGCGCACACTGTGGGCCACGCAGCTGAGAAAAATACAGAAGATCCAGCCCCCTCCCAGGGTCCCCCTGGAAAGGCCAGCATTCAGAGGAGCACCACTGTTAGGGTCACCTAACAGTGACCCCGAGGGAGGGGGCCACTTTATCCATGGCCTTGGAGAGAATCAAGGAAAGATCGCATTGGTGACGAGAATTCAGGATAGGCTTTGACCATGGGATGGAGTTTGGACAGCAGGGGTGAGGAGGAGGTGGTTCCAGATGCGGGGAGGCAGCGGCGGGGGGAGGGGCATGCCCAGATGGTGAGCTGAAAGCCACTGGGGACTTAGCACCAAACAAGCACCTGCTAGCTGGGCACCTTCGTAGCTGGAGCCTGCAGGGGAGCCCCACCCCCAGGGCACCTCCTTCCTAAGCCAACCTCAGGCTGCTGGGCACTGGTGCCAACTATGTGTGTTTCCAAGGAGGCATGGAAGCCATAGCAACCCTCTTTTGTGGCAGGTGTCTCTGATGTGCTTGGCCAGAGCAGAATATTCAAACTGCGGTGAGAACGAGTACTACAACCAGACCACGGGGCTGTGCCACGAGTGTCCCCAGTGCGGGCCAGGGGAGGAGCCCCACCTGGTAAGACCCAGCCCTCCTCCGGCGCCATTGCGGATGTGCTTGGCCAGAGCAGAATATTCAAACTGCGGTGAGAACGAGTACTACAACCAGACCATGGGGCTGTGCCACGAGTGTCCCCAGTGCGGGCCAGGGGAGGAGCCCCACCTGGTAAGACCCAGCCCTCCTCCGGCGCCATTGCGCTGCGTTTGCACCGCTGTGCGAGGTCACCAGGGTAAGCCACGCCGGCCTTCTGTGGTTGCTGGGCACGGAGATTGCACGGCGCAAGCTGCGATGACCCACGCGGTGCTGACCGGCTGGGTGAGGAGCTGAGCGTTAGTAAACAGATCTCTCAGGAGCTCTTTTTACTATTTTTAGAGGCTTGCATTCCTATTTCGCCTTGGTTGAGTTTCGGGTCATCTCCATTGGATGTGTGACTGATGTGTCCTGCAGTAGCCGCATCTGCCTTCTCCTCCAGGAAGGCAAAGCAGGGGTGTTCTGTTAAGCACTGAAAGGAGCATCCAGGGTTTCAGGATCTGGGGTTCTCACAGAGAGCTGAGAAAAGTCAGATGTCACGGGCAATGTCTACTGCCAGGGCATGCCAGTAGCCAGTTGGATTTATTCCGGGACTCAGAAGAGGGCAGGCAGTGTCTGGAGCCCGCGTGGCAGGGAGAGGGCGAGCTGAGCCAGGGCTGGCAGATGGGGCTTCTTGCAGCTATGACGAGTTGGGAGGCCAAGGCCCAGCAAGAGCATCTTCTGGAACAGCCAGTGTTTTGCCACCCAAGGGCTGTTGGGCCACATCCTTGTGGGCTCAGCCACTGTGTTCACCTGTGTCCTCTGTCCCCTCCCCCGGTCAGTCCTGCGGCTATGGCACCAAGGACGAGGACTATGGCTGCATCCCCTGCCCGGCAGAGAAGTTTTCCAAAGGAGGCTACCAGATATGCAGGCGCCACAAAGACTGTGAGGGCTTCTTCCGGGCCACCGTGCTGACGCCGGGGGACTTGGAGAATGACGCCGAGTGTGGGCCATGTCTCCCTGGGTGAGTAGAGGCACCACCAGACAAGCCCTGGTGGACAGAGCAAAGACCTAGAACAGGGGCTGGGGGCTCCGCAGGCCTCAGCGTAGCATCACGCCGGCCCTGTGTCCCGTTGCATGAGGGGCAGCAGCCAGGACAGCAAGTCCTGTCATCTCCTATAGGCAGCCCACCAGGCTCTGTGTCCACACCTCTTAGTGGACACAAATCATCATGGTATCTTCTGACCGCCCAAATGAAACAAACTGGTTGAATTACTTATAATGAATCAACACATGTGAAATCCTTTGGAGAAAACTCCCACACAAAAGTGTTCTTTTTAGTACTTTTATTATTCTGGAAAAACTGAGGATTTAAGTCAGGGGATGCCTATAATTCCACCACAATTCTGCAATGTATAAAAAATCTCCCAAAAAAGAAAAGTGAAAATGCTATTGGCCTGAAAGACAGAAAGATAAAATCTTCCTTTTTCCAGGCGGGGCACACTAGTGAGTTCTGCCTGGGAACTGGAAGATACAGCCTTGACAGAGGGTAAATGCGAAGGCACGGCTGGTGCTGCTGCTTCCCTCTAGTGGCCACAAAACAGTGCTTTGCAAGGGTTACAGGTGAAAACAAAGCAGCAGAAGAGACTGCCCTGATAGAGTTGGTGGAGGTGGTGGTGGAGGTGGTGGAGGTGGAAGTGACGGTAACAGTGCAGGTGATGATGGAGGTATTGATGGAGGTTAGGAGGCAAGTGATGGTGGGGATGATGCAAGTGCAGGTGGTGGTGGAGGTGATGGTGAGGATGATGCAGGTGCAGGTGGTGGTGGAGGTGATGGTGAGGATGATGCAGGTGCAGGTGGTGGTGGAGGTGATGGTGAGGATGATGCAGGTGCAGGTGGTGGTGGAGGTGATGGTGAGGATGATGCAGGTGCAGGTGGTGGTGGAGGTGATGGTGAGGATGATGCAGGTGCAGGTGGTGGTGGAGGTGATGGTGAGGATGATGCAGGTGCAGGTGGTGGTGGAGGTGATGGTGAGGATGATGCAGGTGCAGGTGGTGGTGGATGATG